ATTTTAAAGAGAAAGCTTTGAGCTTTAATTTAGAACAAGTCTCATTCCTTAATTTCAATAAATACAGCTTCCAGGAATTTTTGAATTAGCATCTTTTTTGACACTTAGATTATGCGAAAATGTTAGTTTTTGCTCAATATGTTTTTTCTCAATATTCTATCAGATTTTCGTCGTTCTGTAGCTACAGGCCTGATAAATAAATGTTCAAATTTACTGCGTCCACGAAAATGTCGTAGCACAAGTTCAAAAGACAGAGGAAGTTGTGAAAATTGTTCTGCCAAAGCTAGACCCCACTCAAAATGTACTACGTGGAATGTTTATTTATGTTGTGATGAAAGAAAGATCTGTTTTTCTGAATATCATAATATGATTTAGCTAAAGCAAGTGTTACTTATCACTAAAATATATTTTAATGCCTGATGCTACTTTCAAGTACCATTATCCCCCTAGAATAGGGGGATTGCATATTTTGCTAAAATTGATTCCAAAGGCCTGGCGTTTTAATTTTTTGCATATATTTTTTATTTTGCATTGTTTTATGATTTCAAAGAACAATTTTAAATCGAACCCCGAACATTATCTCGTTTCATTCACTAAATCTATTCAAAACCGTTTCGAATTTCCATTTCACGGTCCCGTTTCAACGTTTTTCTGTGTTTTAACCAACAAAAGGCCCACAGCTATACAATTTTTTATCGAATTTACCGATTAAATATTACTTTTTTCATTTATTGACATCTAACCTATTTTAATTTTTTTTTTTTGTTGAAAAGCTTGTTTTTAGGTTTAATTGATATTTTATGATACATTACATCTTTTGGCCAAAATTGCCGTTTCAAAACTGCACGTGTGTGTAATTGCAAAGAAATGTACGAGTCGTTTTAATAGATTCATTGGCCACCTGTACCTCTATATATCTCTATCTGTGTGTGTGTGTGTGTGTGTGTGTCTCGTCGGTTCAAATCTGGCGGTTATCTCTCCTGAACTTTACGATGTCTCTACTACAACTCTTCTTCCAACTGCCATTTAAGGGGGGAAGAGTTATAAATAGAATCCAATTCGTTTCGAAACGTTTTAATAATATAAAATGATTAATTTTTTTAATTAAAACTATTGAAAAATTAATCTTACCTAAAAATCTTTTCTCTGGATTTTCATAATTTTCTGAAACTTGTTTCAACATTTCCTCGTAATCGATCGGATCTTCCCGATAAATATCACCAAAACTTTCATCGTAATCAACATTTCTTTTCACCCTTTCGTTATTATTGCTGGATCTTTTATATTTTGGTTTATATTGAGCTTTAATGGAGCCAATATTCCTTTTATCATTGATTAAATGATTTTCAAATGGTTTCTTAAGAGTTTGATTGTCATCGCGACCATTTAAATAACTATCTTGTCTTAATAACGCCGCAACATTTCTTTTATAAACCGGAAAATTATAACTCTTTGCTAAAGAAGCAATGTTTCTTTTGTCGTAATCATCGTTATCGTATTCGTCGTGATCTCGTTGGTTTTCTCTCTTATAATGAAGTTCGCCGTTTCTTGCTAAACTTTGAATACCTCGTTTTAAATCGTCGTTTAATTGAATTGATGGTAATTGGCCGGCTTTAATCAACGATGAAATACTTCTTTTAAAACTTTGGTCGTCGTCAGGTAAAGTTCTTATGTAACCAGCTCTAGCTAAAGACTCCAAATTTCTTTTTTTACCGGGTAAATTATCCCATCTCGCTAAAGAGCTTAAGGAACGTTTATAATCGACCAATTCATTTTCGAATTCCTCTCGTTGTAAAGCTTCTTTTACGCGTTGAACTAATTCAGCGCGAAGAGCCTGCTGTTGCAGTGAAGATTCGTTTGGGTCTAAAATTAATTTTAGGATGTTTTCGAAATTTGGATCGCAATCCTCTTCGGATTTAATCTGAAAATAATGTATTTGTATTTTAAATTGAAAATTCTTATTTTGCTAGAGTAGTAGGGCACGGAACTTTTGTAACAAAACGATTTCCCCCCTCCACTCGTTCTGATTAAAAGAACTGGGAAATTAAAATTTAAAGTTAGAAAAAAATTGTTTTAACAAAAATTGTTCCTAAAACAATTCTAAACAAACTTTGTCAACAATTTTTTTTGATTTAATCAATAATTAAGGAGATAACCTCAAAATAATAATTTTTCCACTTTTGTACATAATTACACTTAAATGCTTAATTAATAGAGATGTAAAATTTTTTTATTAAGGTAATTGATTCAAAATCGAAATTGCAACAAATTTTATTTAAAACATTTTTTGATAAAAACAATAATTATTGAGATAATTAATTTTGATAGCATACTATTCAGAGGGAAATTAAAATTTCAAGATAGCAAAAAATTGTATTAACAAACACTGTTCCTGAAGTAATTCTAAACAAATGTTGTTAATAAAAATTTTTGATTTGATCAATAATTAAGAACATAACATCAAAAAAAAATTTGATATATATATTTTTATTGAAAAAATCGTTTTAGAATTCAATTTAGAACAACTTTTGTATGAAATTTTCTGCTGAGAACGAGTGGAGGGGGGAAATCGTGTCGTTTTGTTACAAAAGTTCCGTGCCCTAGTCATCAGTGTTTTTGGCCAGTCCAGTGTCATCAATTTTTCTCTTTCTATAAACACTTGTCACAACATTTTGTATTAGTGGCAGTGTCGTATTCGTTTCTGCACAACCTCCCATGTCATTGTTGGTGCTTTGGTGTTCTTGTTTTTATGCTGAAACTTTATTGTCAGCATCTTATCATTTTCTTTATATTTTCAATCAGTTATTTTCGGCAGAAATTATCAGTGTTCTAGTTATAACATTTTTTCCAAATAATAACAGATCAGAATGATAAATTATGTTAGAAAAATTTAAAAACACAAAGTGATAAACGATGATTAATTGGGACTGCGGTACGCGTGTTTAGTCAATAACGAGAACTTGATTGCAAAATCAATACGAAACGGTCTGTTAGGTTTTGTATGAATAGCGAAATGCGAGTATAACAATCAGTTCTTATTTTTTATAAATTCCATTTATTTCTTATCTTTTTTTACGTTTTGTTGTAAAACGACACATTTCCAATACCTTATTTTATAGTCAAAAGATGTCTTTCAAGTATCCAATATTGAGGAAACCTTTCTTGTTCGGAACGATCTCGTCTCGACAGGCGTTCAAACATTAGCTCAACCGTATAAATAGTATTTTCAAGAGGGTCGGAGAGTATTCTTTAAATTCCTCCGCGAAAAAGAAAGAACGATTTTCCTGCTTTTCTTTTGTTAAAATAGGAGGAAGTCGAAGAGATTAAATTCTACGATTCAACAAATCAAACAAAAAAATAGGAATCTTTTAAAGCAAAGTTAGGGAATAAAAATTTTTTAATAAAATAAATCCATTTGTTACAGATAACTGTAATAATAAAAAATTACAGATACCTGTAATCTAATTCGCCAAAATTAAATAAAAATTTAAAAAATAATTAAAATTACTCGAATTATTATAAATAACGATTATAAATTGCAAGAAACTCTTATTTTTGATGTTTTATTAACGGTAAGTGAAAATTTTATTTTAATATTTAATTTTTTTTTTTAAATAAACTGTCATCAATTTCTAAAATTCAAAGCAAGGTTAGGGAATAAAAATTTTTTAATAAAATAAATCAATTTGTTACAGATAACTGTAATAATAAAAAATTACAGATACCTGTAATCTAATTCGTCAAAATTAAATAAAAATTTAAAAAATAATTAAAATTACTCGAATTATTATAAATAACGATTATAAATTGCAAGAAGCTCTTATTTTTGATGTTTTATTAACGGTAAGTGAAAATTTTATTTTAATATTTAATTTTTTTTTAAATAAACTATCATCAATTTCTAAGAATACGTTCATTTTTAATTTTTCCTCACTTTAATGTTAAAAATTGTTGTGAAGAAAATGTTATGAAAATTGTTAAAATAAGTTTGGACATTTTGAGATAACGTTTTGAATTAATTTCCGTGTGGGGCGTTCGCAGAAAGCTCCTTCCATTAGAGCTGAGCATAAATCTAAAGTGAAATTGCTCCCGGAGTTTCGTGGCAAAATCATTTCAAGGAGAGAGAGAGAGAGAGAGGGGTGGATAAAATCGTTTTCATATTGCGGGATTTAAAGAGTTTGTGCCCGAGCGTTAATGGGACGGTTTAAATGTTGTCACGACTTCATTTTCAACTGGAAGCCTTTTCCACAAAAAAAAGGAGTACCATTTTAAGGAAAAAAAATTAATTTAAATAGAGGAGGCTTAATAAAAATTTTAAACCCAAAAATCCTATCAAATCCATCCAATATAATCTCGACAATCTCTCATTACCCACCGCTAACCAACAAGCCCCTTTCATCCCTAACGTTAATTAGTGTTGGATGTTGCCGTCAGCTTTGTTGAAGCTCCCACTAATACCCTTCAAACGTACATCGTCGGGAAATGGAAAGAGAGGAAATCTAAAGGGGACTAAATCTAAAGGACAGTACTCAAAGAAATTTAAATAATGAACTTACCGCCACTAAAATTGTTAAAAACAACCATAACACAACGGACACCTCAGAAATAATTTTTCCCATTTCACAACTTTCAAAAAAAATTATCCCGGCACGTTCCCTCAACGATCTGTTGCTTCAAAGAAATCAACTTTCAAAAAAAGCTTCACGGAATCAATTTCCTTATTAATTTTAGGTTATAAATTTTTCTTTATTCCAATTTAATCTTTTTAAGCTTTAATATTATTTTGAAAGTGATGATTTCTCTTCGGGAAAGCGACCGTTCGTGACGAACTCCATCTCGCAACCCTCATTTTATAGCATTTCCCGCACCAGGGGTGACATTCAACGCGCAGACTCAAAAGGTTTTCCTCCCCCAAAGAATCCCTTAACAACTACTCACCTAAAAGAAAATCGACCAAAAAATCTCCGTTTATAGAAAAGGAAAAAATTATAATTTAATACGAAATTCAACCCAACTTGTATCAGAAATATATTATTCCCTATACACATCTTAACCCCTCAAATTGGCATTTATCCGATAATTGGACGATGAAACGAATTTATTAGGAATCGTGGGTGTTGCGAGAGATTTATTATTTTTTCCACGAAAAAATCAAATTTAAAATAGTAAAATCAATCATACTAAATTGTTTTTTGTACGCGTTAATTTACAATGAACAAAACGCGTCATAACATCATCATAAAATTTTATAAAGTACGTTATAAATGTTTTAAACTCGAGGACGACACGTGCCATAACCCAGAACCGAATAACTTCCATCTCACTCATTCGCCAATAACGACGCGTTTAAATACTTTATTTACAGTATGTTAAGTACGTAAATTCTACGCAATATTTCTTTCGCGCCTAGTCTATTTCAGAAATTGAAATGCTTCAGTGGTATTTCAGTCACAGCTGATATATGTAGCTGAATAGTGCGCAAAACTATTTCAATTATTGTGATTTCAGTGATTAAAATTAAGTGTAAAGGATTTTATTTAATTAAATAAAAAGTAAGTACGTTTTTCGTAATTAAAATATAAGTGCAAGTATTGTATGGAAATTTTTTGCTTATCGTAGATTATTTTCAAGGTTATTTTTTTTTAATTGAAATTTGAAAATGAATGAAAAAAGGATAATATCCTTTTTTTATTGATTTAACTGTATCAAAAAGAACGAACGTTAAAATTAAATTAATTTTAATAAAATAAGTTAATTCGTTATAGAAAACTGTAATAAGAAAATTACAGGAATCTGTAATAAAATACAGCAAACTAAAATCGATGACATTATTACTATGTTATTAATATGTAAAATGTTAAAATTGATAGAATATTACTGAAAATAGGTAACTATTATTACAATTACTAGTATTTCAACAAATCGTTCACAACGCAAAAACTGTTTTCTGTTTTATAGGAATGAACTTGTTGGATAACAGATGTCGCCAGTAATTTTTATAATGGAAATTTTTTGCTTATCGTAGATTATTTTCAAGGTTATCAAATGAATTCAATTTTGACGTAACAGTATTAATCATTTGAAAATGAATGAAAAAAGGATAATATCATTTTTTTATTGATTTAACTGTATCAAAAATTAAATTAATTTTAATAAAATAAATTAATTCGTTATAGAAAACTGTAATAAGAGAATTACAGGAATCTGTAATAAAATACAGCAAACTAAAATCGATGACATTATTACTATGTCATTAATATGTAAAATGTTAAAATTGATAGAATATTACTGAAAATAGGTAACTATTATTACAATTACTGGTATTTCAACAAATCGTTTACAACGCAAAAACTGTTTTCTGTTTTATAGGAATGAACTTGTTGGATAACAGATGTCGCCAGTAATTTTTTTAATTTTTAAATTTTCATTAAACTAAAACAATAAATTTTTTTACAATAATTTTTAGTATAGGTACATCAATAAGTTGAATACATCAATTATAAATAAGCGGATAATCTAATTAAATTAAATTTTTTAAAGTATGCGTTTTTAAGTAGTTTTAATTGAGATAAAACTAACCGATGTTATCCAGTCGTCGCCAGACACAATGTCGTCAGATAAAACGTTTTAATCACGTGTTGACGTTTCGATTAATCAACTCGAGTTGCATGTTGTCATAGTGTGATTTTAAATCCAAATATCACGTGATTAAAGTTTTAAGCAACTAAAACTAACTAAATTTGAAAGAATTTGCTGTAATTTTCCGTTTACAACATACTTTCAATATCAATAGTTATCGTTTCAATACAATTTGTGATTATTCACGGTTTAATTCCGTTTTCTTCAAATGGAAATCTACGAGAATTTAACAAATTCAAATTTAACGATTAGTAACGAAAGAATTTTTTATAATAACTTGTATTAAAAAAAAATATTGACGTCAAAACAAAAATAAACAATTAAGGTTAGAGTTAAGTTAATATAAATAATGTTTGTTTTAGTGTTTCGCGTTGTAAAGCGAATTTTAACCGAGATGATCTTTGTGTTCTTCTCAATAATTAGCGTAATTGTAGGCTCAAATTTGCGTTAATAGAAACTAATTTGCAAAATTGGTTCAAAGCGGAACTTGGTACGCGTTTCGTTGTTAATCGCATTGTTTGTTTCATTTTTGATATTATAAGAAATATTAGAATTACATCCACGTGTTGTAAAACGTCTAAAAATAAGGAAAATGTTTTGGTTGAGAGAAAGGAAGCCAAATCGGTTTCAGGTAGAACAACATGGAAAATTTTATTTCAATCTTTTATTACTTATTACGTTACGAGATTAAATAAACAACTTAGGACACTTCAACGTTTGTTAACACACTAAAATGTTATCTTTTCTTTTTTTATTTGCCAAATACTGCGTTTTAAATCTTATAAACGATAACAAATTGTATTCAAATTCCGTAACTTTTCCGCGGATTTCAGTAAGTTTTATTCCTAATTGAACCTAAATGCGCTAATAAACGGTTAAAACACCTCGCTATTTTTAGCATCAAATCATTTAGTGATCTAAAAATAAAAATTTATTTATTAAAAAATAAACGTCAAACGTCAAAATTAGAAAATTCGGGATTTTTCATTTTTTAGGGTTGGTAATAATATGTCAACTTCAATTTATAAACTAAAATTAATTTTTTTCAATTTAATCGATTTAAATTAATTAAATCAAAAAGATTTCAAATCAAAATTAATCATTTAATCGATTACAACAATTGACAAGATCTAAAAATAACCAAGTAAGTGCAAAAATAACCTTTAATTTGATTTAAAAATATGAAACCTTTTTTAGCTAGAAAACAACAACAAAGAAATTTCTTATTTATTTATTTTTCGTTTAAAATCTATTTTAGGAAATCATTTCAGATGAAAATAACCCCGGAAAATTTTGTTACCAAGCGGCTACAATTAAATTTTATTTAGTAAATAATTAGAACAAAGAAGCATAGAATAACGCTTTTTGTGTAGTTAAAAGATAACGAGATAAGTGTTCCTACAAATAACGAGGCGATTTCGGTTTAACCGAGGCAGTATAAAGCGGGACGGAACGCTTTTAACGCTTCAGTTTTAATACAACGGTGAACGCGAATACACAAAAATGAAATTACCCACTTTATTCAAAAGTGATTCTTCGGGTACATTTTTATTTCTAATTTAATCAATTTTATTTACTTAACTTTTGTTTAATTTAGTTTCCGACATGTCCACACATTCGAAACGTTCCAAAACCAAGCTACAACCCCTCGAACTCTTTGTTGGGAACATTTCCGAAGAATTAGAAGCTCCGTTAACATCCGAAATAGTCTTTAGAAAAATTTGGAGGATTCGTAAATTCAAAAAAACAATTTCACGAAGAGAAACTATTGATAGTCCAAATTTCCGTTGCTCCGTCAATGGGCTTACGACTTATTGGAATATGTCGATTCGTTTTTGGAAAGGTACATACGCAATAATTAATAATAATTTTTCTAATTTCATTGTGATTTAGGCCCTAATGGAAAAAAAGTAACTAATCCGGTCGTTCTTTGTCTCAACTTAACGGGATGCGAAACCGAAGAGATTGGCCAAGCTCGAGTTCGATTTCAATTCGGCGTTTGGGACGCTTCGATTAAACATTGGGAGTGTTGCCCTATTTCTAGCGTTGTTTTAAACTTGGAAAATACCCACGAATTGCACTCGATCGGTTATAAGACTTTAGGAATTTTAGACAGACATTTAGATAGTGGTAATGAATTTTATTTTAATTGCTCACACTTTTTTTAATTAATTAATTGTCTTTTAATAGTAAAAGATGTTAGTATTATGGTCAAAATTCAAGTGATTCAAAGCGACGAGGAAAAACATAGTTTATCCCAAGACTTTGCCCGAATTTTATCACTAGAAAACGAAGAACTCACCGATACCATCATCGACACTATGGGCGAAGAGAAACCAGAAACTTTAAAAGCACACAGTTTAATAATTCGTTCGAGAAGTGCGATTTTAGCAAGAAAATTACGCGATTATTCAGACCCCAACAACAAGGTAAATTTTGACGTAAAAAAGTGACGTTTCAATTTCAAGATTTCTACTTTATCGACTCAAAAAAACATAACCTAAATTTTTCAATTTTTAGAACATTAAATATCGATTAAATTTAACGGAAATAAACCATCAAATAGCTCAAGAACTCTTCAGATACATATATTCCGACAAAGTGGATAATGCGGAAGCTTGCGTTAATAAATTATTACCGCTCTCAACGCGATTTAATTTGCCTGGTTTGACAACTTTGTGTGAACGGGTCCTTTTAGAAAATTTAACTCCGAGCAACATTGGGAATATTCTTTTATTAGCCGATCAATGCGGTTGCGAAAACTTGAAAAAAGCCGCTTTACATTATTGCGAGGAATCAGACGAGATCAAAGATAGTGTACAAATCGGTAAGATATTTTTAGGTTAAGAAAATCTGTGATTAAACGTACTAACATTTTGTTGCTAATTATTTTTTTTAAAAATTGGGATAATTTGTTTATAGAAAACGAAATGTGGACTTTATCCTGTGAGGATTGTCTACTCCACGATAAGATAATGGAGAAATATTGCGGTGAAAGACGGAAATCATACGATTTTCGATGTAATCTCAGATATCTAAGGACGAATGGTTAATAAAATCATTATAAAACGGTGGTTAAGATGATAAATCGATTATAAACTGATCGTAATCTGAGGTTATTATTAATTTTTAAACAGCTAATTTGTTAGTACGTTTAATTCTTCTAGATTTCTTTGAATCTAAACTCTTTATTTTCTTAAATTCTTAAATATTATACCAATAATGTTTATTTTGTTGTAGGTAAAACGTTAGCATGGAGAGTAATGGAAATGGTTAATCCAGATTTATTTCTCGAAGCATGCGAAAGCATCGGAAGTTCCTCAAGCAATTTAGACAGCCCTTCAACTCCCGGATCGTTCAGCGATTTTTAATTAACATTAATTTGTTTTCTATGAAAACTTTGAAATGTTTATATTTTAAGATGTTAACATTTTATAAGATTTTTTAAACTCTTTCAATATCCATGTCTATTTATTTTTATACTATTTATTATGTAATATTAAGAGAATTTTATGAAAATAAAATAATAAAAAGAATTTAGCGACATCTCTTATTCAACAGCGGAATTAATCAACAAGCAATATTGATTTTAGTTTATGTTCGATCGTAATCAGAGATAATATAAGGATCGTAATGCAATGTAATGTAATGTAAAACGATAATAATAATCATATTACAATCTTAATTTTAGTTTGCACTCATCAACGATTTGACAACGTCGCTCGCTTCGCTTCTCTCTTCGCTTTTGAAACTTTTCGACTAGCGCCATCTATCAATAAAAATCGGGTAATACAAATAATTTATAAATAAAATGTATTTTTGTAATTCGCTACGGTAATGGAAGCTATAACAGTACTCAAACGGGTGCTGTAATGAGACTCCTTACAGCATCCGATGCTGTAATGAGATTTTAGCAACATTTTATGGAACCAGTTCAAGTTGGTGACATTGGGTCATTAATTTTTCTAGTTGTCAATGTGACAATTTTTGTCTATGGATGTTTAAACACGTTTTTAGCATCGAATACAAAGTCCACAATGATGAGGACATTGACTCTGAGCAATTTCTCTTATTTTGGGAGGTGTACATCAAACATTTTTTTCAGGTGAATATATTTTGTGTTTTGACAGTTTCTAATTGTCAATTCAAAGTTTCTATTTTCAAGTGTTACCAACTGCTACATACCTATTTCCCTACATTGCCAAAATTTACTTTATTTTTGTTTAAAAAAAAGGATAAAAACGCGAATTACAAAAAATAGCATAAAAAACACGTTTCATAAGACTTAAAGCACTAATTCATTAAAAAATTTCAAGCGTGTCTTACGAAACTTGTTTTTTAATATACTATTATAGAAATAATTTCATTTTAACCGCAAATTATGTAAATAAAAACCGCATCAATGTCTGGAAATCCTAACCGTCAATGAGTAATCGTATAAACACGGGTAAAATGATATGATTTAAACTTGTGGGCGAAACGATTCGGGAAATGTAGCGTTTGTATGCAGGAAATAAAATAATGATTCATTTGATATTGTACATAAAGGTGCCGATTCAAAGTGATTCAACCAGGTCAATAGAGTAACTAGAAACGGAAGTGGAAGGGTTCGCACGCATTTTAAACACCCCTTTTAAAACACGAAATAAAACAAGTTTATTATGATTAAAATTAATTTTTAAAAGAAATATTTCTATTGACTTTGTTAAATGCAATCATTAGTGTAAATCAATTGTGAAATGTATGTTCTAATTTCATGACTTATTATCAAATAGAAAACGGTAATAAATTATTATTGTCTCTCACATTTCTTTTTTTTAAGTTATAACAATTTCAAGTAACGTCTCGGATTAAAATCGAAAGTGATCTTGTTTGCACAATCACCGGTAACGGAAGAAAAGAACTTCCAATTGAAGAAAGTGACAAACACCTTCGATATCACTTCTGTTGTAACCTCAAGAGAAAGTTTACTATCTTTTTGATTAAATTAAATTTTTAAAAATCACTAATATTAAAAAAAATTATTCTCAAACAAAATAAATTTTTGTATTAATTGTTCTTAAAATTAAAAAATTACATAGATAAAACTAAAACCATGCGCATGCGTACGAGTACTTTATGCGAGGTGAATTTAAGTTCTTGGCGTTCTTGGGTTCGTTTTGAACCGAGTCAGACCGTTGAGAACGTTCGTGCGTTTCGCATTTCAAAAAGAAAACCTCAAACAGTTTTTAGTTAACATTTCAGACCGGTATCTTAAGAAAATAATAAGTGTAAAAGAAAATCATGAACGATTCGGAATTAAATTCGGTTTTAACTCGACGACAAGAGATCAATGAGGCACTCGATAACGGGGATCAAGTCAAATTAAAATACAGGGTGGTTAATGTCTACTCTGAATTTTCGGAATTTACCAGGAAAGAAATTAAACAGTACGAAGGAACGTTTCAAAAGTAAGACTACGAAAATAAGATTTAAGATTTTTTTTGTAAAATTACAAATTAATTTTTTGAATAATGTCTTATCATTCTGTTTGTTGAATTGTTTGAATCACTTAAAAACAACCGAACGTGTGAATCATCCAAATCAATTCTTTTATTACCCATTAGATTTACTTCTTAATTAATAATAATTTTTTTTTGAGAGAAAAAACTTTCTCTATTTGATAAAGTCTTGAATTTGAGAAATGATCGTAGAAAGTCGTTTGAATAACATGAATAATAAATAAAAATGTATTCTTAAATTTCTTTTAGGTATTAAGTTGAAAACGGGTTTTTAAACGATTAAAAATGTTTTTTTTTTATATCTTCGTCGTCGCCTTTTGCGATGGTAGCTGTTAATATCGATTGAAAGCAAACTCGGCAAAGGTCATGTAGGTCACGATATTTAAAAAGGACCTCGTTCAATACATTTTGTCACCTACTGCCCCCCTAACCTTCAACAATCTAAAAGTAATCATACATTTTTCAATAAATCCTACACAATGTAATTAAAAAAATTAATTGATTAAACACTCAAAATTTAACCGTTTGATAATGGCTCAACAATTACCCTCACTTAAAAAATGTTTAAAAAATTGTTTTAATAAATGTTATTAAATTGTTGTATAAAATGTCAAAAATTGTCGAAAGATTGTCACTATTTCTCCATGACTACGTCAATTTTATTTGTGACGAATTATACAGGGTGTATCTGAATGACTGCAACAAACTTCAAGGGGTGATTCTTTAGTGAATTTTAAGGGTACTTTGATATATGAACTATGGGCGACTTCGGCTCCCTTCAGGAGCTACACCCCTCCAAAAATGGCGGAAAATTTTGGTTTATTTTTTTTTTTTTTTCAAAAACCATAAACGCTAGGAAAATGAAATTTGGAGAATATGTTTAACTCATAATAGGGCACGTTTTGACTCTATTTGTACTTTTAACTTACCCTTCTAAACTACTAAACGTAACCACCCCCGTTCAATTTATGCCTAGATTTTTTGTATGAAGCTGATAAATACATTGGAAAAATTTCAGTTAGATAGATAAAACTATTATAAAACCTTTTTGTCTCTTTGATGTTCTTAGAAAAATAAATAATTTCGGAGAAAAAAAATAATTAAGCAAACACTAACTGTTAAGCTGTTTGGAATGAATTTTTAATGAAAAAATCTTAGTAGGCTTTGCAATCTTTGTCAGAAATATTTTTGACGTTTAAATGTCAGTGGTTTTCGTACTATTATTATTGTTTTATTTGAAATTTTGAAACGTCGAGTGAACGAGCGTAAATGCGATAGAACTTTATTTAAAATTAATTTGAAAAACAATAATAATAGTTGACATTTAAACGTCAAAAATATTTCTGACAAAGATTACAGAGCCTACTAAGATTTTTTCATTAAAAATTCATTAAAACTTTTGATCGACAACCCCGATGTTTAACGTGCAGTACTTGCTTTATTATTTTTTTTCTCAAAAATTAGTCGTTTTTGGAAAAATTTTAGAGAGACAAAAAAGTTTTAGGATACTTTCATCTACCTAGATAAAATTTTTTTAATGTATTTATCATCTGCATAAAAAAAATATTAGCAAAAATGTGAAGGGGGTGGTTACGTTTAGTAGTTTAGAAGGGTAGGTTGAAAGTACAAGTAGGGTCAAAACATGCCCTATTATGAGTTAAACATATTCCCCAAATTTCATTTTCCTAGCGTTTATGGTTTTTGAGAAAAAGAAATTAAACCAAAATTTTCCGCCATTTTTTGGAGGGGTGTAGCTCCTTAGGGGAGCCCAAGTCGCCCATGGTTCATATATCAAAATACCCTTAAAATTCACTAAAGAATCACCCCTTGAAGTTTGTTGCAGTCATTCAGATACACCCTGTATATAAAACTTAAATATTAGAATAAATGGTTCAATGAAATTATAAATTGAAATCGTGTGATAATAGCTCAACAATTTCTCTGTTTTTTAAACTAATTTTTGCATTTTTCGTCAGTTACTGGTTGACTTTGCCCCCTTTTCTTGAAATTCCAGATATTTCAATTATTTAAGAGACTGTTTACCTTGCTTTTAATAATTCCATATTAGGATACTATTAACCATATAATTTTTTTTAAGTTTTAGGTTATGTTTAAATTTGTGGTTCATAATAATTCCTTGGGAATTTAAAATTTAAAACATTTAAATAAACGATGCGAATCAGAGTGGATAAAATACGTGTTTTGCGGTCTAATAACGATTAAAGAAACGTTGAAAAATTATTTTAATAAATTTTATTAGCTTAGGTACGTCAAAACTTGTTTTAAAATGTTGATCATAACAAAGATTTATCGTTGAATCTCACCAGATATATATCCAACAAAAATTCACCCACTCAACTTAACCCAATTCAACTAATTACACAAACCGGAAAATTCATACTTCAAGTTTACAAGTTTGACGTATAAAATGTCAAAAAATGTCAATTTTATGTGACAAATTAAACTTAAATATTAAAAATTAATGTTTGTTTAAGTGTTTAAAGTATTAAACGTAATCGCAACATCCGGTTGGTATTTTTAAAAATCTTTGAAGAGGCACATCTATTTTTACTTGTTAATGCTTGACGGGTGGCAACGATAATTATAAATATATTAAAAATATTTTCGAGTAAGGTAGGAACTATGTCTTTTCTTTGATATCTTAAAATAAATTCTTTCCTGGGGTGTAAGTCTATTATTAAAAAAGCCCCCTTTAAAATATATTTGTCTTGTTTAACCCACCAAAATAACTACATATTTAAAAATAATAACAATTAAAGAAACTGTGTCATTGTTGTTGATTACAATTCAATCAACTCAATTAAATTGTGTTTGCGTTTTGATTTATCGCTTTATTATGCGTACTTGGAAATGAAAAGAATTTTAAAAGGAAAGACTTAAAGATTATTTTATAAATTATGAAAGTTTCTATTTTCGTAATTTCTTTCTATAATTTATATGATAGGAATACTGTTTTATTATAGCAAAAATAATACAGGAAGTTATACCAAAGTTTTTATTTACAAGTCTATGCCCTTATCTTATTTTGTTTAAAGTGCAGCAATGTTTAACCGGAAATATAACAAAAATTATCTTCTCTGTTTTAAGATATGAGTCCATTTTAATAAGTATAATTAGTATAACTTTCCTTGTAAACAACATAAAGAAGGTTTTACACTCCTTTTTATCATCAATGAATCACTCGTAAATAATTTGCAAAACATTGTTCGTTTTACAACAAAAAATAGATGATAAATAAATCTAAAAATAAATTTGTAATTTCCAAGTCTTCTTTTAAGCAAATTGGGTCAAGACGAAACCAACCCCACATTTCTGTTTGTAGTAAAACAATCCTCCATAAAACCATCTTTAAAGCCCAACAAATTCTTTAAGAATCGTAACTTGATACTCCTTTTAAACGTTAAACACGTTCTCTTTACGTTCACTTTTCAATTCAATGAACCCGAGAGATTTACCAGAAACTCTTCATCCTAATCTTTATCCATAAAAGAAAATAGAAAATGTAACATTATCTTTTAATAATTTTTTCTTGTTATTGCGATTCAGATTTAATACGAACAAGGATAACTACTTATGTTTGGAACAACTAAAGAGAATGATGGAGATACTGGGTGCGCCACAAACGCACCTGGGACTCAAACAAATGATAAACGAAGTGGACGAGGACGAGGATGGACGTTTATCCTTCAGGGAATTCTTGTTGGTCTTTCGTAAAGCACGCGCCGGTCAACTCGCCGAGGATTCCGGGCTGGCCGCTTTGGCCAAATACACAGAGGTTGATGTGAACAAGGTCGGGGTGAACGGCGCGAAAGAATTTTTCGAAGCTAAAATCGAAGATTTAAAGAAACTAAGCAAATTTGAGGAAGAAATTCGACAGGAACAAGAAGATAGGAAAAGAGGCGAGGAAGAAAAAGCAGTAAGACGACAAGAATTTCTAGAACGAATGGCTATTTTTGGAAAATAAGCATCTTATTTGTTATTTTACGATTAACTTTACCAAATGAATTTATTATTAAATAATAGTTACATAAAATAAATGTAAATTTTGTAATCAAATTTTTTCTGCAATCAAATTGATTGAAATTTTATTGATTGCAGAAAAATTTAGTTTATTTTTTAGGTTATCTACTTTGATTATATATAATATGGATTGAGCCAACGAGAGAGATAGCTTGCGCAAGGTGATCGAACCGAGATAGACATAGAAGCGTACTGACATATAATGGGCGTGCGTTAATTTATAAGATAAAAACTATCAATTAGAAGTAACATTTATAATACTTACAGGTGATGTGAAACTGTATTATCGCGAACTTTGCACACGAAACAATACATTTTTAAACATAACGGTGTGACTGGCTGTGACACAACAAAACGATAAACGTCAGGTTTGACACTTTTGTGCGCATGCGCCCATCTGTTTAGTACCGTTTTATGTCTATCTTTGTTACACTTTCACATTATCGCTTTCCATCTGCGTCTATTCACCTTGAAGCACATTTTTGTTAGTAGATATATTCAGTTAGCTCAATCCATATTATATATAATCAAAGGTTATCTACGATTAATTTGTAAATTATAAACGAATGTGATATGTAATAAAGATATTTCTTATAATATTGATTTATCTTGTCCAAAATGACATTTAACACTAAACATAACCTCAAAAAAATTCCAACCTAATAATAAAAAATTATTTGATAAATAAATAAAATACGTATTTTATTAAATAAGAAATCACATGAAAAAGATTTACAATAAAAATTAAAACAATCTTAAACAGGTAATGTTGTACTAACAGTTTTTGAAAACATCTTTGAAAAAAATGATAAACCTGTTGCCCCACCTGGTATGCTAGAAATAACAGTCCAAAGCAAGGTTACAATCTGTCCGACGGCGAATAATACCGTAAAAGGAGTACTTTGCAGATGCAAGGCGAAATATAAAGTACCCACGAGAGTTGTTCCATAAATTAATGTTAAAAGAAGACGTTCCCTCGAAAACATATGTTTTAAATGTGCCATTGGTCCCCATAGAAATGAAAAACTATTAATAGAAACAATCGTTATTAAATCAACAATTTATTTTAATTTACCTCATAATAAAGAATAAACTTCCTAATGTAAACAACAAAGAAAATTTTCTTGCTTTAAACAATAAGACTGGAATGTACATTGCGGAAAGGGTAAAACATAAAATTCCCATTATTATACATAAGCAAAAGCCGGTAATTCTTTGAAACCGTGACTAAAAAATAAGAAATTTTATAAATAAGTATAATTTAATTCGTTTTAAGTACTTACCAAACTAGGACAACAATCCTTTTTCGTCTCCTGAAACCAACTACCATCATCGGCTTCTTCCTTTTTGAACCAAGCCGAGAAATTGGGTTTTTGTATCAACGGCAGTTGCAATTTAAACGATTTCTTTTGATCGTTTTGCAACAATAAGTACTCGTCTAAATCTTTCTTTAAATCGGCCATTTCACTAAAAACACATGTATTATCAAAGAAAATTTATTTGACAATTTGTTATTGTTTACGTTTGAAGTGTCATAATGTAGTTTTCTTTATCACCTAAACGAATTAATAGGTAGATGTCGCTAATCGCAAAAAAATTAATTAATAATTAGGTTTTTAAACAAATTTGTTATTACATTATTATGTATTGAATTTAATTCGTTTTTTATAAATTAATAGTTACTCAGTTTGGTTTAAATAAGTGGCGACATCTCATTGACAATTTTAAAATCAAAACATAAACATAACCTGAAACTGCTTATTTATCCGTTTATTTTTATATTATTAATTAAAATATAAGGGGGAAAAATGTAAGTATTACTATTTATTTTCACTAAAAATATGACTTAAAAGTGATAAATATAATAAATAAAAGCGGGTATAGTCTTCGTTAAATTCGTTTTCCTTCCAGTTCACCATGAATTCTTAACCTATAAAGATCTTTTTTGTTACAATTTCTTTTATCGATTATTAAGTTTACCTATATACACATGTAAAATCCGGATTTCCATGATTTGAATGTACTTTAAATTCGATAAAATTAAACGCATTTTGCGAAGATGCTACTTTAAACTCTTGAATTGGGGGTCCGTTTGAGTTGTATGTAAACTTTCCGAGTAATAATCCTTCTTTTTGATTTATACATTTCAAGCCCTGTAATTGTAATAATTGTAATTTTGTTTTAGTGGTTGTGCTAATTAAACGTACAGTTATACTAAAATCTTTTGGTGCTGTTGTTATTTCCCCCGAGGGCGACATGGATTTTTGAATATGTTCCAAACTAACACTTGTAACGCGCACTTTACCTAATAATCTGATTATAGCGACACCTTTCGAACCTTTAAACGCCCAACATTCACCGGGAAGGTTTCCAGGCTTTTTAAAATTAAAATAATATTAATTGTATGTAAGTAAATGTGAAATAAAAATGTACTTGTATCATAGTTCTAGCACCGTTACTAGCCGGACATAAAGGAACCCCTAAAAATCGTACACTTTCACCAATGGGATAATTTTCCGTATCTTTTATTGTAACGATACTTCCTCCGGCCGATTCTAATGCAAAGTCGGTTTTCCCCGTTTTATCAGCGTCGTATTTATTTAACGCATTTGTGATATCGCTTGAAGAAGCTTTTTGTTTGTGACCATTTGAGTCACATTTCTCTTTGATTTCCGATAACATTGCATTACTTGATTTCAAATCGGTTAATAATCCTTGGATAATTTCTAATTTTTTATTCGTGTGTTCCTTGTTGGAAATTATATCTTGCACTTCACCCTTTAAATCGAACATATCTGTTTTAAATTTTTTTAATTCCTTTTTAACGCAATCGACAGATCCTTGTGATTCCGATAAACTATGGCCCAAATATGAACATATTAAAACAACGCTACCTGGAAGAAAATGTTATTTCTATTAATTAAATTTTTTTTCCTATTATAACTTAACTAATTATTAAAATAGTGTTGGAGGTTATGTTTATATAAATTAATGACAGTTAGGTTAAGATCAAAGCTGTCAAATTTTGAAATATAACCTCAATCGCGTTAAGTAGAGATAAAATAAAAACCTATTGCAAAGAATATTATAACGTATCTGCAAATTCGCTCCCATTGATTATAATTTTGATTACATAGAACTGTATTGTAATTTCTCCTCATTACCAACTGATTATTAATTAATTGTCGATTATTTATAATTGGAGAAGGGGTTAGATTGCCGCTTTTTCGTGTAACGATTGCATCGGAAATTATAGAAACGTTTGAAGCTTGCGATTTAGATCGTGCTATAAAAAAGATGTTATCAACGTTTTGAAAAAGATAATAATTTTTTTACCTGCAGATCGGGTATAATAATTGTGTCTTGTCTGAACGGTCTCACTCTCTGAAATTTCGTCGGAAAAAAAATCTCGTTTCGTGTCAAAGTGACAAAGATCAAAATAAAAACGTCTCTTACCTGTTATCGATACCTGACTTGGACCCGATAATGTTAAAGAACAATTACTAACGTTCATTTTCATTAGAAATTAATAACCTCTATATTTTTATTCGATTTTATTCATAAATTGATTGACATAATTTTTTTATTATAGAGAAAATGTCAAATTCATTACATTATTTCATAGAAATCCAAGAAAGGAATAAATTATTGTCCAAAGCGGTTGGAGAAGCCGTTCAGCGATACGAAAAGAACTCCAAAATTCCTCTAAAACAATACATCACACAAACAAATCCTTGTGCTACGATCATGGGAAAAGATTTAATTGATTCCATAAATAAACGACTCCAAGAAGAGGAATCTTTAGATGAATTAGTTAAAAAAAGTATGCGAATAATAGTAACAAATGTTATAAATTAAGTTTTTTATTGTAAATTAATTCAACATAATAATTATAAGCACCTTTAAAATTATATAATATCTGTTCAATGTTTGTTGATAATGTTGTAAAAATGTCGTAACTGTCATAATATAAGGTTTACATATTATATAAAATGAGTTGGTCACCCTGGTTATGATATTAAAACGAAACGTTTGTTTTATATACATATGTAGCTTTTTATTTAATATCGGGCATGTTTTACTTAGCTTTTGGATCTGGAGAAATTCAAGAATGAAATAAAAACTAGTATGAAGAATAATCGGAATAATTAAATAATTTTTATAATGTCACTCTCAGTCACTCTCATAAACGTCTATTTCATAATTGTCATTTCTAATTTTTAAGTCCTGTTATTTTTTAATATATACCTTTAGTGATCGTTTTAACATCATGAAAGGTACTTCTAAATCTAACACCTAGACGATTGTGAAGAAAAAGTTAACTAGAACACCTTGAAACGCCATTTGAAGCAGTTTTTTTGTTTGTATAAATTTTACAGTATCACCCAACGGCTATTATTTGGCACAAATTTGCATTGCAATGTTCCAATTTATACTCTCTTCTGGTAACGCTAAGCAATGCAAATCCAACTTGTTACGATTTTTGGGGGCAAAATTGGCATATTTCAAGAATAACAGGGTCGTTTAAAAAATTATAATAAGCAACTTCTATTCAACGAAATACTGTAAATTAAATTGTAGCATTGTACGTAAAAAAAGATTTAGAACACAAAAGACATCTGTCAAAATGTGAAATGTCATTAACTTAACCTACAAATTAAAAGCGTTGTCGTAAATTATTGGTAATGAAATTAGGCAACTTAAATTAATACTCCTATGAATAATATTATATATTTAAAAAGCGGGAGTATTAAATTGGAAAATAAATTTATTATTATCTTTAAATAAATCTACTGAAGAAATTTCTTTTAGATAACATTGAAACGATTACGAAAATATGGGTAAAGGTCTAGATAATAACAATAGTGTTATCCTTTGGAATGTCAATGATGTGTTTATTGTTGACAACATAATTCAATTTTGAAATACCTACTCATGAAAAAAGATTTAATAAAAAAATACATTTCCCAAATGACAAGACAATAATGCAATAATAAAAACGTCATCTAATATTCTTAATTTAAAAATATAATTGTTTCCCCTTCAATAACAATGATGGTTAATTAGCAATAGAAATCGAGTAAACTTTCTAATTTATGTGTACACTTAATATGTACATTAACAATAAAAACGATATCAATAGAGATGAGTAAACGAGAAGAATGCAGATTATTTAGGAATTTTTCACATCATTTTTCCGTTCGCCGACGTGGAACAATGTAGGTTGTGTAATATTGGTCAAAACAAATAAAAAATGTTCAATTTTAGTTACAATAAACGATTCGTTTTTAAAATTGCTTAATAACGAAACAATTGTATCCTATTTAGGATATCGGAAACCAATAACGGTTACTTCCTGGTGATTTCATTCCTTTTTCAAAACGAACCATGCCTAAATATAATTAAAAAACATTTTAAATACAAATCACGTTTTATTTTTATTCTATATATACTTCTTGTTTTAAAAAGAGAATTACAAATGATTATTTTAATAATAATAAGAACCTTTTCCTTTTTCATTTCGTTTTGTTGATAAGAAAATGGTTATCAGGAGAGTTTGAGCGAAACTTAACAAAACTCGCCGTGGTACGTTTTTACGAGTATATAAATTCGAAAGCGGCTCGAAATGGTTTCAGTTGGTGTTGGTGATCGGTATAAACGCGACTAAAAGCGAGGGAATACCTGTCTTCGTTCTTTTAACAAAAAATACAATAATAAATTCGTTCAGTTAAAGAAAACTCGGAAAGAATAATTAATTAAAGCTAATCTTCTTGTTATATTAACAAAATCGGGATAAAAAGTGAAACTAAATTTAGTATTTTGTTTCTAATTTCAAAGTGAAAGTAAAAAATAATAGGTAAACTAAAATGGAAAAAGAGTCGCAACGAAACACTGCCGATGTCGCTCAGGAAATTGAAAATAAAGGTAATAAAAAAATAAGTTGTTTAGGAAAAAAAAAATGTGGTAACAAACAAGTTTTTTCAAAGAATCGTGAGTTATTTATCAACAAAAAGTTACGTAAAAGTTTATCGTTTTAACAAATTCATTCCATTAATTAATTATTTCTTTTAAATTTCATTTTTTATACACTTGTAGTAATTATTTAAACTTGAAATAAACTCGAACTGAACTCTTTAAATAACCTCAAGATAAAATAAAATAAAATTGACACTTTATGATAAGAACAATGTTTTTTCGTTGTCAACTTTAATTTCAAGTGCTAAATAATTTATTCAAATTATAAGTGGAATCGAAATTCTTTTATCTTTACTTTCTTTACTTTTCTTAATTTTTTTTATTCAAGATTATGATTTTAAATTCAATTCAACAATAACAACTTGTATTAAAACTAAATTATTTCATGTATTCAGGAATTTCCATGTGAATATTGTTTTAGAAAAAAAGGTATGCAAAGAATTTTTTTACGCTTATCGTAATCTGTGTATTTTTTGCGTATCGATGCTTGAAATTATTATTTCTAAGCGATTGTGTTTTAACAATCAAAACAGTGTTTTTGCAAACGTAAAATATTGTAAGTTAAATCTCTACATTTTATCTTTAATTTTGAATGATTAATATTAGAAAAGAGGCACACACAGTTCATAATAGGATTTATCACTGTATTAATAACGTTATCTAAAATAATCCAGAAGCTTTTTGTTTGCATTATTTGATTAAAAGCTTAATCAAAAAGCTCGATGTTTTCCCATTTGACTGTGAAGGTTTAATTGTGTTGAGGTCAATTTGCTTTTGCGACCATCAATTTGTCCTTTTTATTCTCGTTTTAACATCACATGATTTCTGTTCTAGCTTCCTTGCCTTGGTATGGAGTAAGACATACTCAAATGATCCTTCTGTTCGTTTTAATCATCATCGGATATGGAATGAGGGTTAATTTATCGGTTGGAATCGTCGCAATGACAGATACGGATACAATTTCAGATATTCCAGTAAAAAAAATTTTTAATAACTTACTTCTTTTGCAATCAACAAATTATAATAATTATAATTTAGAAAAATAAATATTAGACCACTACTTTACCGGCCCTGTACAGGGTGGTTCAAATTCGATGTCCGAATAGGCTAACTCGAAAACTATAAGAGTTAGAAGAAAAGTAGCTGACATGTCATGATCTCGTTTTTCGAGAAACTGCTAATGCTGAAAACCTCATAGCGCTATCGTCTTTTGTTTTTCCGCTAGAGGCCAAAATTGAAAATATCGTAAAACCCGCAAATGTAATTATCTTGGTTATTATTATAGGTGGAGTATTATAACTAAGACATTATATGGACACTTTTTTACAGAGAATTTGATGACGTAGTCAAAAAAATTTTGTCGGTTTTAGATTTTGAGATATTATCACAATTTTCGTTTTTTTAAATGGAAACAACCACTGATTATTCGCTTAATAAATTCGTTATTTTTTTCTGATTACAAAAATATAGGGTTTGACAGGTCTATTTCTTATTGTTTTAGAATAAAACTAAAAATAAACTTTTCTTTTAGTGTCGTCGAAGAAATTAAATTTACAGTTTCCTGTAAATTACGGTTCTATAACTAAAAATTAAAAAAACATATTTCTGATATTTGAAACAAATATATTTGTTGAACTGTTTAATTTATATATGTTTTACACAAAAGTTGGAATAGATTGCATTATTTCACATTTTTTATTACGATTTAATATTATTTTTAAATGACTTAATAAATTAACGATAGATGGCGCTCATATATTTTTTTTTTTAATTCAAATAAACATAGCAACATTTGTTTGTATTCAAAAATTTTCTGAAGTGTCACTTTAAAAATCCTGTTTTTAAGATCAATTACGAAAATTTTGAAAAGTTTGACATGTTAGAATGTTACATATTAAAAAATTATTTGTTTTTAAATACCAGAAGTTATCTTCGTATTTAATTGTTAACTTTTTAGATTTTACCTACCGCCCCGTAACTTACAGGAAACTGTAAATTTAATTTCCTCGACGACACTAGATGGAAATTTTATAAAAAAAGTTTATTTTTAGCTTTATTCTAAAACAATAAGAAATAGACCTGTCGAACCCTATATTTTTGTAATCAGAAAAAAATAACGAATTTAATAAGCGAATAATCAGTGGTTGTTTCCATTTAAAAAAACGAAAATTCTCATGATATCTCAAAATCTAAAACCGAAAAATTTTTTTTGACTCCGTCATGAAATTCTCTGTAAAAAAGTGTCCATATAATGTCGTAGTTATAATACTCCACCTATAATAATAACCAAGATAATTGCACTTATTGGTTTTACGATATTTTCAATTTTGGCCTCTAGGGGAAAAACAAAAGACGGTAGCGCTATGAGGTTTTCGGCATTAGCAGTTTCTCGAAAAACGAGATCATGACATGTAAGCTACTTTTTATCTAACTCTTATAGTTTCCGAGTGAGCCTATTCGGACATCGAATTTGAACCACCCTGTACATTCGGTTGCATAATTCATTTTAATTTTTAGACTTACAACTGGACAATTAAAAGTACGATTTTATCGTCGTTTTTTTGGGGTTACATCATCCCTCAAGTCGGTGTTGGTCAATTAGCGGAACGCTTCGGCGCGAAATGGTTTTTAACGGGTTCAATGGCAGTTTCCGCCCTTTTTACGTTACTAATTCCCCCGATGGCTGAATTGGGATCTTGGGGAGTAATGATTTGTCGAGTCATTCAAGGATTCACCCAAGGTTTTTTTTATCCTTGTATGCATAATTTACTGAGTAAATGGATTCCGTTAAACGAACGATCCAGACTTGGCACCTTCGTATACGCAGGTAAATATTAAATTAAAAACTTAAAATTTTGAAAATGACGTAAAGTTTCAACTGTCAAAGCAAATGTCAATTGTGTTGTCTTTAGGTTATAATAGTTTTTTTTTTCAAATTATCATAAAGGTAATTAAGATGAATATTGACGTTTTTAGGAGGTCCTCTTGGAACTGTTATTTCAATGCCTGTAACCGGATGGATTTCGGCAAGTTCAGCAGGTTGGCCAACCGCATTTTATTTGTATGGAGCTTTAGGTTTTGCTTGGTGTATCATTTGGTTGATATATGGCTCTAATGGCCCAACCGATCACAAAACTATTTCCGCACAAGAAAAAGACTACATTTTGAAATCTTGTGGACAAAGCGATAAAAACAAAGTTGGTTTTTATTTTTAATACATAATTAATTGTACAGAATAATTTTCATATTTATTTTAAAAGCATGTAACTCCATGGAAAGATTTAATAAAATCGCTTCCAGTGTGGGCTATTTTAATCACGCATTGCGGTCAAAACTGGGGCTTTTGGACTTTATTAACTGAAATTCCAATTTATATGAAAGGAGTTTTAAATTTCAACATATCAAAAGTAACAATTTAATTTGTCGTTATTTAATTTTTGATTAAATTTCGAATTTATTTTCTAGAACGGCCTGTTATCAGCCGCCCCTTACTTTGCTCTTTGGGTTCTTAGTTTTCTCTTTGGATTCTTAACCGATTACACAATAAATAAAGGAATATTTTCGGTTGGCGTAGCAAGAAAAGTTGTTACAGCCATAGGTTTGTCTTTATAAAATCTCTCTTTATAAACGTGGTTAATTTCAATAGTAATTTAATTTTAGGTTTAATTGGTCCTGCTGGAGCTTTATTCGCTTTAGGAATGGCCGAAAGTGATCAAAAAGGGCTCGTAATAGGGTTATTAATAACCGCTGTTGGATTAAATTCTGCGATATTTTGTGGTTACCAAGTAAGTCACGTGGATATCGCCCCAACTCACGCCGGAACATTGATGGGAATAACAAACGGAGGCGCAAATATTTTTAGCATTATAGCCCCTTTAATTGTTGAATTGGTCGTAACAGATGAGGTCAAAAAAGAATTTTTAATTGCGAATACTAAAATAACTAAAAAACAAATTTTTTAGTCCGACACTGATCAGTGGAAAATCGTTTTCTTCACAGCAGCAACAATTTATGTAGTCGCTGATATAATTTATACAATATTTGGATCTGGCGAACGACAATATTGGGACCAAGAAAACGTTTCAGATGAGAGTAAGTAAAACAGATTTATTTTTAACGATAAAAAAAAAATACAGCTAAAATGTAAATAGCTTATACTTTGTTGTTGAACGTCATTTTGTGTCGTGTTTTATAAATTATATGCTAATCTTTTATTTTAAAACAAAAAATGTAAAGAAGAATGCGAAAAACTCTTCGAGTCTGATAAAAAAGAAGATGAAATAAGTAAATTACTGGAGATTTACAATCAAAAAAGAAGCTATACACATTTTATAAGTAGATAAATACGTAAAAGATTGATTAATGTACTTTTTTTTTAGATGGAATTGAAAAACAAAAAACTAAAAACTTTTCAAAAATTAATGAAAGAACATGACTAGTCCCTAAATGAATTTAATAAATGATTCTTGTTATGTTAGTTTTTAAGCATAAACATAAATTATGTTATTTATGTATCTGTGATATGTAAATAAATCACATTGAAAAAAAAAGTTGTCTCTACATTAATTTAATTGTATGTGTTATAAAAACCTGAGTGAGTGGTAAGGGTGTTGTATTACAGGTTGCAAATTGGGTGTTGCGGTAGGGCAGGGTTGGGTTGCGGTAGGGCAGGGTTGGGTTGCGGTAGGGCAGGGTTGGGTTGCGGTAGGGCAGGGTTGAGTTGCGGTAGGGTAGGGTTGGGTTGCGGTAGGGCAGGGTTGGGTTGCGGTGGCAAGAGGGGTGTGTGAAAAGAAGTGTGGCCAGAGAATTAGTGTATCAAACATGGAGACGGTGATGCTGAAGAGTGAAGAGGGATGGGAGGCGATTGCGAACATGTGCAGAATGCTATAATGAACGAGAAGGAGACGACGGAGTGGGAGCTGTCGCCGGGAGGTTATGGGAGAGGAGGGGATGTTTCCCCTTATATGTATAGTTTAAGTGTAATTAATAATAAAGTTTATGGAAACGCAAAACCAAGATTTTGTTGTTAACCAGCGCCCACCAGATAAAAAATAAATAATCAGAATGTATTCTATCGTTTTCGGATCCGACAACTGACGCAATGGTGTGACGCCTCCTCCTCCTGAAGGATGCCGAGATCAAAAGGTCATAGCCACCTACATGGTTGGAACAAGTAGTAGAAGTGGATAGTAATGGCAGGTAGATGGTAAGAAGAAACCTCTTACCATATCTAACCAGAAGATCGGCGGAGTGCTGCCTCCTCCTCCCGTAAGAAGCCGAGCCGTAAAAGTCATGGTCATTCACAAGGAGTGAAGGAGAAGGGTTTGTTGTTCCCCGATGAAATGCCCTAATGGGCGGTGCCGGGAAGAGAGGGGGAAGGGTTTTAGACGGTCGGAATTGCTTCCAACTCGTCACTATCCGGCCACATGAGAACTTAGGCCGGGTGTCTGGTAGCAGATTTCCTAATCCCCTCTATAAAAAAAAGGCAGGATTGGGTTGCGGTAGGGCAGGGTTGGGTTGCGGTAGGGCAGGGTTGGGTTGCGGTAGGGCAGGGTTGGGTTGCGGTAGGGCAGGGTTGGGTTGCGG